CCATTGCGCAAGAACGCGGCGAATCTCATTGGCAACGAAGCCTACGCGGCAGGAGGTAGCGGCGGACGAGAAGGAATGCTCGCAGTATGGCCCACTCAGGGGATGCCCAGCGCTTGTAACCTTGCTAGGGATTCCCTCTTCGACGCACAGCGGGCAGATCCGGAAGTGGCGCCTCAATTCAGCGGCCTGGCAATCAATGCGGTGAGAGTGTTGGCAGGGTATGGTGTACACTTCAATGTACAGACCGACCGGCTTGTTGGTTGCGTCCTTGATGCCCTGGGGTACCACTGAGACGGAGGACGCGGTCAGAGGCAGTAGCTGCTAGAACAGATGCGACCACAGAGGGAGCTTGCATGCGACTCATGCGCTTTGCTGTCGCACATGCCCTTTTGCCTGAGAGCAATAAGCCTTGGAAGGCATAATCGTCACAAGCTGATGGTGCCCCGCATGATCCACTGGTACATGGCCATCCGCTCGTGCTGCGACGCTGTCCCAAGAGCATACCCCCGTCAGCGGCTAAGCCCATCGCAGGGTCCGGGCAAACCCAATGCTCGCGTGGAGGCGTCCAGCTCCCAATTCCCGCACTCTGCGTGGAACATCGGACACTCCGCTTCCGTAACGCTGAGGACCGCTGGCGATTCGACGGCCATGGGATGTTGTGTACTGGGCAGGGCTACGCTCACGCATCCTGAGAAAGGGATCCTGTGATGGGCGGGAGGGCTCAGGGCTGGAGACACCACCTCGCATTACGCCCCTCTCTACGCTTAGCGGCGCAGTCAGCCCAAATTTGGTTTCCAGGCATATGCTATGACCTTGGAAGGCAGACAAACGCGCGCAGGACGTGCAGGACGTGCAGGCCTTGCGGGACAAGGGGGGCACGCGGGACGTGCGGGACGTGTGGGGCATGCGGGTTGTGAGGGACGTGGGGGACGTGGGGGGATGTGGGGGATGTGGGGGACGTGGGGGACGTGGGGAACGTGGGGGACGCGGGGGACATCCGGTAAGGCCGCTTGGCCCCGGCGCACTCGCCGCAGATTCGCAAAGAAACACTCGGGCAATAGCTCAACGGACGATCAGGGTGGTACTGTCGGGTGGGCGACTAGTCGGGTCCATGAGTCTCTGGAGGGTGCCCGCATCCCCTAGCACCAAACGATCAGCAACCCGTCTTGCTGCATCATCCTCGGGTCACCCGTTCTCGAGTTGACAGGGGTCACTGCCCTGGAGGGAACGCGCCGGATGCTCGGACCAGCACTTGCCACCCGTGGAAAAAGTTGTCAAAGCGGGCCAGGAACTCTCGTTTGGGCAGCGCCTGTACAAAACACTTGGGGAGACCTGGGACACTTGGGAACACTTAAGGATGTCCAAGCGCACGGCGGCACTGAGCAAAGCGGCGCCCGCGCAAATCCATGTCGTGTCGGGCTGCCGAAGGCTCACCAAGACGGACGAGGTGGCGCATGCGGGCGAGCTTTATTCTGAGGGCAGGGGTTGGGCTGGAGTTGCGTTTTGCAGGAGCTCGGTCCAGCGCGTCATGGAAAGTTGCAAGGAGCGCAATCCGAACAACGGGGCTACGCTGCAACGTCATGCAGGGCGGCATGGATCTGTCCTCGTGAAGGACTGGGCTAGTGTTGTATGACAGTGCTTCCGGCAGGGAGACCAAGTGTGCACAGCACGGGTCAGCAAAGCGCTCTTCAGCACATCTCGTCGGGCTCACAATATGCAAGCCCTTGGGCGGATTCTGCCGGTTGAATGACCACACACACACACACACACAGAGCGAGAGAGAGAGAGAGAGGAAGAAGAAAACAAAACGGGGGAAAAATGACTCTTGCAACATGTGTCCTTGTTAAAAAGAATAATAGAGACTCGCAAAATTTGTCCTGTGATTTAACTTTGTCTGCAACATCACAGCACATGCATGTCCCAAATCTTTGGAGATGCAGAACGAAAACGCGGTCACGCGTAAAAGCAACTGACGCGAGTACCTGTAGATGCGACAAGAGCTGTACGATTACGAGCGCCTCGCCTCCCAGAATATAGAAGAATGTCCCAGGCCACATTGTGGGCCCAGGGCAATGCGCGGACACTCGCTGGCAGTATCGATGCTAATTAGCATCGGCGGCAACACACGCGTAAACTGCTTTCAGATCCGCTCTCGCTGGCCTTGCAGACGCTCGGGCAAGCTCAACACCTTGCGTGATTGACCAAACTTCGAGTGCCAACCTCGCACCCTGCAAAACGGAGGTTCGACTACCTGCAGGCAGCGCCGTGGCCAACTTGACCAGCATTTCCCAACCCAAGGTCCGCGCTTTCTTTGGGTCAGCATCCACAAGACGATGCCCGCTGCAGCCTTTCTACATCAGGGAACCTTGGCCGCTCTACCATTGGCAGTCAGCAGCCAAAACTTGCCTGCAACCAGACAACGCCATGAGATGTAATCTCGAATGCACAGTGATCTCCTGGCACAAAATGATGCACAGTACAGCCAAAATGGCATATTCGCCCTGTCGATCGATTCTGGATTCAGTGCCTCCGTGCAGAGGCACACTCCAATGACTTCTACCTAACTTCATGGCGCGTTTTCGCCCAAGCAGTGATGGTGAAAGGATCCTCTGCCTACTTGGCTGGTCACCTTCACCCAATGGTCCAAACAAAGTTTCGCAGCACACACCTACAATGTAACGTGCTAGCTCAAGCTCAACTTTTCTGTGCAACGATGGTGTGGATGCCTTGCTTCGTTGCTTCCTTCAGTCTGGCTGCAAAATCGTCCGTGGCGCAAGTGAGCATGAGATCGTGCTTCGCCATGCCGAGGAACAGTCGCAGCAGAGTGCAGCATGGCTGGCGACAAGTCGTTTGATGACTTCAAATGTGGCCTTGCCCACATTTGCAAGGCTCTTTCTTGACTAAGGATCAAGCAATAGTAGACGCGCGCTGTTGTTTGGACACTCAAAAGCACAATTTGCGCACGCCAATGAAGCCAGGCCAGTGCTTGTTGTGCATTGAATTCGCTCAGAAGTGCAACGATTTGACACCGTGTCTGTGGCTGCTGTACTTCTGGGCACGACTCTGCTTTATTTTGATCGCCAAATGGAAGGCCGGGTAAGACGTTGGCGGCAATCAACTGGTGCTACTGCGACAACAACGAAAAACTCGCACCAATTGCAAGCGATTTGGGGCATCAGTTTCCGGACCCCTCATGCCTGCCGAATTTGGATCAAGCGAACACGGCGTTCTATGCTATGCTTGCGCGGCGGTCCGCAAGCTCGTGCATGGCTGCCATGTCATGCAAACTCAAGAAAACTGCGTTCAGCGCGGCATCGACTCGCGCGAGTGCAAGAGCTGCTGTCTCATTTCTTGGCTTGCTGTCAGATCCAGCCTCTTGCTCAAATGTGCGGCTCTCATCTGGGAGTCTGCCCGCACCTTGCTTCAGACAATGACCGAAATGGTGTCTAGAGCTCTTCTGCCCTGCGCAGCTTGCGGTAAGACTCCGTTCAAGAGCAATGTGTAAGTAACCATGGCCACCAGCCTTCATAAGATTGGTCCGAAAATCACTCGGCTTTGAATATGTTGAATCCGTTGCCACGAATCTGCCATTGAGGGGGAAGGTGTTGGGTCCTGGTCTGGCAAAGCTGGTGGCCAAAAAAAAAGCAAACGGGCACAGTCCGGCAGTCGCTCGGCTTCTTGCTGGCTGCATATGTGCCGACTGGAAGTTGGAATGGGAACCACTTTGTCAACACGATCAAATACAAGCACGGGTAAACATGGGAGCTGTCTCACACGAGATTAGCACGGAGCACCACCGACCTTTAAAAGCCCGTGGGGGCACAATGCGCCCAAGCTGCCTCCCTATCTCGCAAACTCCGGAACTCTTGAGGCCGTCAGCTAAACTTCGAGGAATGATGCATAATGCCCAACGGCCCATTCGGCCAAATGTGGCCACAGAGTCTACGGGAAACGTCAGAGTCAGCTCTCGGACCTCGGCCGGAACCCTGCGCGGAGGACAAGATGTGAGCTGGACTATTTGCGTTGCCGGGCTTGGCCGGTTGTCTGTTGGTGCTTGACGGCGAAAATGAAAAACACATCTGTGTGTATGGCCAATTCGAATATATACCTAACGACATACATTCAGAGCACTGAAAAAAAGACTCAAGCTCCCCAATTTGCCAACACTGGCCTCCGAGAACTCAAAAACGATGAGCAAATCGGTGAAGCCTTGGTGCCCTTTTGCTTTCGGTTGCAAATGTCCATCTGCGCGAACTGGCACACTGGCCGCTTAGTCCGCGACAAGAACTGCCCCGGCCACAAACCACGCTGTCCAGCACCTCGTGAACTGCGGCTTGGATGTGCAGAGGGCAAGGCAACATTGAACGTCTTGGGAAATGGACCAGAAAGCGAGCTCCCAAATCGTCTGTGGATCCGCAAAATGAAAATGCTCGCCCGCCCCCTTCCCCGGGCAACCCACCAGCGCTCAGTCGGCCAGGCTGTTCTCCTGAAATGCAGCGAGTCTCGTCTGAACTCTGTGGTGGCGTGTCCCTGGCGCTGCGCACATGCCTTGTGTCTGCCTCGCGTCAGCACGGCCAGTCCTCCGCGTACTTCATGCCAGTCTCAATCTCGCCCTTCAGCTGAGCCTGCGCACGAAGCAGGAGGACTCAACACCAGCAACCAAAACCCAAGCACCCAGCCTTCACCTCCTCCATTCGCTTGGTCTCATGCTCGTTCAACTCTCCAATGGGGAGGACCTGGCTGGCCACCCGCGGGCAATCCGCGGCTCACAAACTCCTCCTTTCCATGAATTGGCAAAGTGGGCTGGATTGGTGCAGGTTTTGCCTTGGCCACGCCCTTTTCTCCGAACCTGGGTGCAAACATCTCAGCAACCGCCTCGTCTTTTTCTCTCAAGTGTCAGGGGTCCACGAAGCAGGTCACTGAGAGCGGCACTGCACCTTGGAGGCAAAGTAAGGCAGGTCCTGGCGAAAAGGTTTGCCAAGCGTGGAGCACGATCCGGCATGGCAGGTGCACCGTGATGTCAGACTTCACGTAGGCGCACTCTGTTCGTTTCTTGCCCATCCTCGGAAAGGGATAGAAAATACGTAAAAAGGGAGGCCCGACTGAGATGTGGGCAGGCCCGCAAGCACGGACTTGCCCAGGCGGGCGCCTGGCAGAATACCGATGCCAGTCTCTAGCTGAGCAGCTGGGCCAGTGCCTGCATAAGCCATTGACAGCGTCGCGCTGCCCTTGCCACTCTTCGCATTCACCACATCCGTTCCGGCCTCCGTCTGATGGCTTTGCGTTGCCCAACATGGGAGCGGCTGGCAACTCGTGACTGGCATCCAATCCACGCAACAATGGTAAGAGAGTTCGATGCCGCATCTCTTGGAAAGCTTGCAAGAAAGAATTAGTTTCCAAAACAAACACGCATCCTTCGCCTCGACAGCAGCATGCATACAGTCTAAGGCACGAACATCCTGCACATGCCTCAGGATGCCAAGTCAGCGCTACCGCAAACATGCCACTACAATGTTGGGAAAAGGGGGCGAGGCATGTGATTTTCAGCCAAAGCCTAGAAACATTCGAGCCGCTATGGCCAGCCACCAGGCCTGCAGTGCGTCCTAAAACCTCTGATTGATACTGGCCTAGTCTGAGATTCTCCTGGTTCCCTGACAACCCAAAAAGAATAGCAATTGAATCCAAGCCCGACTGAGTGCGCTGAAAGTAGCTGTGCTTGACATGCAAAGGCTAGCAAGTGAACACAATCATGATTGAAATGAGGTAAGTCCCCACTTACTATGACCCTCCCAAATTCACCGCGTACTGTCGGACATTTTCGAGGGAAACTAAAGGGAAACAGATTTTCTTCATTTTGAGAAAAAGCAAATGCAAGTTGAGCCCCCGCCAAGCTGCTTGTCCAAATCCTCGATCTTGTCAGCGGGGATGAGTTTGGCCACCTGCCGAACTTTTACGACTGGACCAGCTCAAAATTGCCTCCGTTTACCACAAGCCGGTCTTATAGGGGGTGTTCTGGACAAGTGGACCTTCCAAAATAGATACATATTACATATACATGTATAATATATATATATATATATACATACATACATACATACATACATACATACATACATACATACATACATACATACATACATACATACATACATACATA